GAGAGGAATTCACATTTGCCTCAGATGGTTAGTTTTTGAAAACACTGCCTTTATTAACTAAGGGATACTTTGGTTTCCTGCAGTCTGAACTTAGCAATTTATTTTTATATAATATTTAACACGGTTATACCCTTGGACTTGTTTTGAATTTTGACCCTTTATTAACTTGTTGATATTTTATAGTTGCTATTGATAGCTTCAGATTACTTTATCTAGGAGTCATAAAACTGTCTTTCTTTAGAAATTGGAGGAGGTGAATAGATTGAAAACGTTCTTGTCACTCTGCCCCTTTTACTTCCCACCGTGGAAGTGAAGTTGCTCAGATTCTAAACCTCACTTGCTACGGTTTAATTGAATGAGGTTAACAACCACACAACCGCCCTCCAAGCTGGACCACAAATGGGAAATTCTTGTTTCAGGGAGAGTTACAGATGCTGGTCTCTCTCCTTGTGTGCCATGGAGCTCCTCGTAGGCATAGTTCAGAGGACCTAGGTGACACATTGCTTTTAGGACCTCCTGGAGGGGACCCGGAAGTCACATTGCTTTCAGGACCTCCTGGAGGGGACCCGGAAGTCACATTGCTTTCAGGACCTTGTCGAGGGCCTCTTCTTTCCCCCTCTCCTCTAATCTCGCAGTTGTCTGAACTGAGCAGCTCACCCTCCAGAGAGACTTTCAGTGAGTTTCTGTCTCTTAACCGCTTGAAAAGGAGTGTGTTTACTGGGCCTGAGTGCTTCAGGCCCTCCTGATCCCGTTGTTATGTACAGATGCTTTTATTGTCATAAATCAAGTTTTATCATCCCCGCCTTTTTCATTCTGTGGCTCTTTCTCTTTTCTCTAGTAATTACCAGCAAATCTGTTTCCAGCTCCAGACTGATGAAGGAAAGTAAAATGAGGGTTTAGTAATTTTTGCCTACACATGTATTTCCCCCAGACTTATAAACATGATTGTTCATGGCGATTAAGAGAAAAGATGAAGGGGCATGTCCTCCAAATCACCTACCTCAAATAGAAAGGGGGGGCAACATCTGCTAAAAAGACAACATTTCTAAGAAACCGTAGGGGCATCTTGAGTGCTTTCTACACGCCAGGAGCACTTCTAGATATTGTCTGTGTATTCCTGTATTTAATCCCCATGATAACCTGGATGGGGTAGGAATTATTGTCTGTCTGCTCTACATCAAACAGTAGGAGGTTATGGGCACTCATCTTGTTCTGTTGTGCTGAGGTTTAAAAAAATTGCTTGTTTCCTTTGGTTATTACTGGGATTTCTATTTTTTTTTTTGGCTGGGGCTGGGTTTGAACCTGCCACCTCTGGTATGTGGGGCCAGTGGCCTACTCCTTTGAGCCACAGGCTCTGCCCCTATTACTGGGCTTTCAATAAAATGTTTCAGTTAAATTTCCTTCCCTGTGAAAGCCCAAAGCCTTGTCTCCTTGGGCCTCCCCCAAATCCACTTTTTGCACTGGGTTTTCCATTATGTTTCAGGTCACTAGGGAGCATTTAAGTTTTAACACCTCCCTTCTTTCTGTACCACCCACTCAAGCTCATTCCAGGTGCCTTTAGCAAATGACTCCCAAGGTATTTAAGTGGCCAAAGCTCATTTCATTGACCAATGAGGAGACCTGTGCCATGTACACCAGAATTGCGCAGTTCCTGGGATCAGGATCGAAGGTTGCTTTAAGCAAAGCTTTTGTTACAGTTAGCCTGTTGCATCCAGGAATCAAGACTGGAAAGGTAGGGGAAGCCTTATTTATTTTAATTAAAGGAGGAGACGGTTGTGTTTGGTTAAAGCAATTTAAGTCAGGCCGGGTAAACAGATGATCTGTTTTGTTTGTATTTTAATTGAAGGCAAAAAGAAAATTTGGAAGTTTGT